CAGGATATATGCTGCAACACCAAGTAAGTTAGTCCTTTATACGTGCATGCAGGCGAGGTTTCTTGCAATACCAATCATTTGTGAAAATCTGTCCTATAAGCCACTTGTGAGGCTGAGGTACCCACCTCAGAGCTCGGTGTCAACAGAGTTTGCCAGGGTAGGTGACTCACTTGGAAGCAGTCCACACAAATTTTCACACAGGGGAAATACCCATGAGTTAATCCTTACTCATCGGCCTCAGATCTTAATGGAGTGACCTCTAATGTGTATAATGATTATGAGACGTTAAATCGTCTTGTGAATGGTGATGTAATCAGTGATAATAACATTAAGTTAAGAGAATGCGGGATGTGAAATAGATCGCCCTGCTCCGAGTGAACGCGTGATTATCGTATCGAGGATAGTGAAGTTTTATGGTATCACGACTTCTAAACCGGGACAAACCAACGGATACCTCGTCCTGCTGGAATAAGAACTGTGTCAGTGTGGCGGGACGTCAAAATGAGAATGGTGAATGGGGGAAAATAAGGAGCATCAATCATCCCCAATTAAGAAACCCCTTTGGGTTATAACAGACTGATACTGGGCCAGTTAGGTATGTTTTAATTGGATAGGTTAAGGGTGATCCAGCCACATCAAGTGCCACCAGGAATATCTGGTAAGTGTGGGTTATGTACAAATGTTTTTCCTTGATGGATGTATCCATGTGTATCCTACCCCCCCCCTTCATTCAGTTAAACTAATATAATCTATACAGTCCACAATTAATTAATAGCGCCGTGCTTGAGGGTGCTACCCAATTTATGCTGGTCTCAGATAGATGTGGACAAGATTGTGAGGGTCGAGGGGCCACCTGTAGTGACCAGAGGTGGTTAAGTTTTCTCACATGTCTACACGGGGTGACTACGGTAAACAATATGGTTGTCTCCCAATGAGATTACTTGTATGTATATAATGTTGAGGTACATACAGGTAAGCACCCTATAAAATTTTCCACGGTACTTAGTGGAGTGGAGTGACTTTCATTAGTTTCATTTTTCTTGAAATACCAGACGTATACTGTGAATTTCATATAACCTGTAGTTACCAGCGGTCGCAATATACACAACGAGAAGCAATTATTACTACAGAAAAAGCGTCCTTCCTCCAAAATTTCCACCAGTCAACTATAGTGATAATATAGCATTTATTGTGGTGGAGACGGAAAAAAACTAGAAAAGCTAGATACAGCGATTGATAAACAAGGGTTGAGGTCGACCGTTGGTCATTGTAGGAGCTGCAAGAAATCACCGGTTCTTCAACACGCAAGTTATACTTTTGTATCAATCAAATCACATATTACTCGGGTAGATAATTTCAAGTAGATCTTCATGTGTTAGCCCAAATCACCGACTAGTATGTTTTAAATAAGTGACCCACTGATCAGATCAGATCGACTGGTCCGAACCCTCGACTGGTCCAAACCCTTGATGGTCCGAACCCCTGACTGGTTTCAAACGGTTTCGTTGGACAATAAAGCAGACTGTAAACGGATGGGGTTGTAGGCGCCCTTATCAAACACAAACAATAAATATAAATCAGGAAAAGTACACGGTAAAGCTGTCCAATTAGTTAGAAATAGAAATACAAATAGCTAGAGCTTCATTTAAGGAGGTTATTAATAGAGTATTCAAGAGGTTGCTAGTAGAATTACAGTAAATCAACCATTTAAATCATTATGAGCTGTGTGTAGTCTGCAGTCAATCAAAACAAACGGGCTTCCACATGGATAAATTGTAATTTTTGTGGAAATTGGTTTTCACGCCCCCTTTTGCAGATATCCAAGAAACTAGCACAAGCAGTGTTAAAACAGGGAAGTGTTTTTGGGGATGCCCAATGAGGAAAATCTGTGGACTAAAATCACAAGGGTATTAAAAGAGGACAACATCAAAGCTGCTTTCATAACAACCTGGAAGCTTTCTACAACAGATGGGAACATAAAAATTTCGGGGCTGAAGGGTACTGCCCTTGATACTGGCCATGTAGTCAGAAACTGTAAGGCTGGAGATGATTTTCCTGGTATCAAAAAATTTTGGGGGCTAAATAGTGCTGCCCCGGGAAAACAGAAAAGGTGAAGCTGGAGGTGTTTGCCCCGGGGAGACAGTAAGGGTGAATTTGGGGGTCCCGTCCGGGGAGACAGTAATGGTAAAGTGGAGGTGCTGCCCCTGGGAGACAGTAAGGTGAAGCTGGGGGTGCTTTTCCTGGGAGACAGTAATGGGGAAGCTGGGGGTGTTTCCCCGGGGAGACAGTAAGGTGAAGCTGGAGGGGGCGGCCCCCTGGGAACAGTAAAGGGTAACAAAAAGGTGCTGTCCGGGAAAGACAGTAAGGGTGAAGCGGGGAGGGCTGTCCGGGAAACATTTTAATGGTAAAGCTGGGGTGCTACCCCGGGGGACAGAAAATGGAAAGCGGGGAAAAGGTTTTTCCCCCGGGGTTCCTGGGAACAGAAAATGGTAAAGCTGGGGGTGCTGTCCTGGGGACAGTGGGGGTGAAGCTGGAGGTGCTGCCCTTTGGAGACAGTAATGGTGAAGCGGAGGTGCTGTCCGGGGAGACAGTAATGGTAAAAGCTGGGGTGTTTCCCCGGGGAGACAGAAAATGGTAAGCTGGAGGTGCTTCCTGGAAGACAGTAAATGAACGCATGAAGGAATGCATATAAATGGCCTCGACGGAGACAGGAGCTGAAAGTGAGGAAACAAGTGTAACCCAAAGGGAAAAGAAAAAACAAATTTAAAAAACTAGTAATAACACAGAAGATAGCAAAAAAGGAGACCCCACTACTTAAGTGAGGATACTTTTCCCCAAAAACCCAACGGGTGAGACTCCATTTTTAGTACTAGGGGGGGATAGGAAAGACACAGGAAAACCCATGCACCAACGGGGAAAATACAATCACAAAACCCAAGGCAAAGGGAAACCCAAAAGCCTTGCCCCATCCCTATGCATTTGGGTTACCGCAGACAGGGGAAAATTTTGGAAAAACAGATGGGACGTGCAACTATGACCACCCTAGAAAATCCAAACCCCATATGACAACAGGAAAATGCAAACCCCCTTTTCCTGTAAGCTTTTAAAAACCCTAAAAAGTGTCCCTTTTTTCATAAAAGGAAAAAGACTGTGCTAAAAACTTAAATTCCAGGCAAAACCTCAAAAAGGGGACAAAAGGTAAAAAAAACATCCAGGCCATGGGAAAACCGGGGTACCCACAGCCACTAAAAGAGGGAGAGGTTTTTTTATTTCCAGAAAAAAAAAAAAAACTGGCAGGAAAGGCAGAAATCGTACCCAAATCCAGCATTTCGGGAGGGGGGAACCACAGTTAAATGGCCTCCACTCCAAACAAAACAGAAACAGATACTATGCCAAAAAAAAGCCCTCCCCATACCCCCAAATCCCAAACCATTTGGGGATGACATTTTTTCCTTTGCAAAATATACAGGTCTAAAAACCAGCAACGAACAACAAAATTTCCTTTCATCCGTGGCTGCTTGGGAGAGGGAAAAGGGAATGTTCGCGGCTTTTCCCCAGAACCCCATAAAGGTAAATTGGGGCAAAAGAAATATGGATCCCAGGTTAAACCTATACAGATCGACAGAGTAAACAGGCAAAAGGGGGGGGGGGGGGGGTGTATAATCAGAGTCACTTATTTGCAACAACTGCTTAATCCTCAAATGACGTAGTGGAAGTTTTTTGCAGTAAAGGATCGAGGGAAACCCAAAAACCCTTTATTGGGAAATCTAAAGAGCCTCCGGGTGCAACGTCCCGCAATTCCCGGAACAGGCACCTTAAATGGAGGGAAAATAGCAAATAATGTTGTTGCAGTGATAACACCGGGGGGCAGCTCTTAAAGAAATTCACAAAACACACACACCCACACTTCGTTTCCCAAAATTTGGGGCAAATGGGTTTAAGAATTCTTTGTAAAAAAAAACCCATGAGCTGCGTAGGTCTTCGTCAACCCCTTTTGGGTGAAGACCACTTCCCACTAGTGGGTTGGGACCACTAAAGACCCCACCTCCTCCCGCTTTGCCTCAACCCCAAAACAGTTTTTTAAGCCACGTCTACGGCCCTATCTGTTCATTCTACAAGATTGAAGGACTGAACACATTGACTCCCCGGCTGAGGGACTGATTTTCCATCAAACTCCTCTCCCCTTTCCCTTCTATTTTGGGGAGTGGAAATTGAAGCCAAAATGTGTGGCAAAACGTTTCCCCGAATAAAATTCCCATATGTTTTTTTAAGTGTCTCCAAATTTTAACCTGTCGGTTTTTCCCAAAACCCTTTATCACACATGAGGGGCCCACCAGCCTTTTTACCCCTAAATTTGACGCTTTCAAATTTGGCGTGACTAAAGGTTTGGCCCCTTTAACATAAAGCCGTAGGGGTTTGGCACGGACCCCCGAAAGGGTTAAGTTTGGAGTAATAATTTAAAAAGTTGAGCAATCATCAAGCACAATTTACAATAATGAAATTGAAAAAAAATTTTTTTTTGTAGTAAATGATCCCAAATTTGTTTTAGCAGTTTATAAATTTTTTAAGAGTTTTTTTTGTAATTGGGAGGGGGTTTTAAATATAGTGTTTTTCGTAATATGGTGTTAAAATATAGTTTTGCAGTATATATGGTGTTAAGTATAGGTTTTTCAGTATATAAAGGTTAAGTATACTGTTTGCAGTATAGTAAAGGTGGTTTAAATATAGTGGTTTTTTCAGTATAGTATGGTGTTAAGTATAGTGTTTTTCAGTAAAAGTATGGGGTTAAGTATATGTTTGCAGTAAGTATGGTGTTTTTAAAAATGTTTTTCAGTATAAATATGGGGTTTTAAATATTTTTGTTTGCATTTTATGGGTTTTTAAATTATTTCATGAGTCATGTTATTGGTCAGCCATGGGCTATTTAGTCTTTTTTTATTGTGATCTGCATAATCTCTTCTGTATGTACTTAGTGTATAAACTTGTGTATTACTTATGTTTTATGTACCTAAGATGCTCTTCCTACCACAGATTAAGCCATGAGTGAACGTACAACTCAGGATTTAAAGTCTTGTGACAGTAATGGTTCTCTGAATACAACAACAAAAGTGTTCTTCACTCCACCTTTGGACTGTGACATACAGAGAAGAGCTATACTTGAGAGGGTCCATCAGTGCCTAGCTGAAGGTTTGTTAAAAATGTCTTGCTTGTTTATTAACCCCTAAACGGTCCAAACATATATATACGTTCTTATGCGTAGCGCCCCAAACGTATATATACGTTTTAATTTTCCTGCCTCCAAATTTGGCACGATTGGCCTGATATGCCTGGTCAGCATAGAATTGGTCTTAACACTTGGTGTGTGCAGTATTAAAAAAATCTGGGACCACTTAGTACCCTGTGGGAGCGCCAGTTAAATTGAGCGCCAGCTAGAGCAAACAGTGCAGCAGACACCAAGGATTCACTGATGTAATGTCATATTAACACTCCTGTTAAGAGGAAAGTCATGTTAACCGCAAGTTTAGAGTCTGATGATCTCTGTCTATCTGTCTCTGTCTCTATCTGTCTCTATCTCTTTCAATTTGTCTTTGTCTATCTCTGTCTCACAGTACACATAAATACAAGTATACGTAGTATAAATAACCTAGGATAACCCAAAACTCCAAACAAAGTGCTATACTCTGCTTGAAGATGTGAGTAAAGGTGATGACGCAGTCTTGTGGCTCTCTCTGAGACAGAGAGCTAGATGGATAGACAGATAGACAGAGAGCTTGACAGACAGACAAATAGACAGACAGAAATGTTTGTATACCAGAAAAAACAAAGCGAGGGGAATGGTCATCTAATCTTATCAGCTGTACCCTCCCCCAACACTTAAAAAAAATGTGCTCTTTTTTTTCTGTGGGAAAAAACGAGTATATATATGTTTGGACGTTTAAGGGTTAAACAATATCTTAGTATTCTTATGGACCCCAATGAAAACAAGTCAAATTTTTTTACATTACATATTAGGTTATCTTGGGTTAAATTTTATGTAATTTACTATATAAAGCCATTGTAAAAGTTAGAGTTTTTTAAGACTGGCCATCTTCCACTGAGGTAGGTAGGGTGACTTTAAAATAGGGGAAACTCAGTGTTATTCACTCAATTACTGTCCTGCCAGAAGTGTCTGACACATTTTTGTTATTTGGAGCTTATAAGTTTTGCTTAAAAACATTGTCTTGATGGAAGTTTGTTTTGTTTATCATATTATTGTATGTAACAATAATGAATTTTAAGTAGTATAAGTGTATCCTAACATAAGATGTATATGGTTCCTTATTTTTATCAGGAAATGAGAATGTGTCATGTGAGGTGATTTACTTGGGTCAAGTTGAATGGGAATCAGTAGGCCAAGTTTCAAGTCTGACCTACCATGTCATGTCCTTGTGCCGGAAGTTTCACCTCCTGCCATCTGCACGATCCATCCTTCTCTCCTTACATGACCAGTACCAGGCCATTCAGCTATGTTTGGCAAGAACAAACAAAAAAGTAAGGCATATTCGTATTGTATAATTATTAATGTATTCTAATCATAGGGATGCTTCTTACTTTGTTCTATTTTTCACTTCATTCTAGATACATAAGTGCCCTGGAAATAATCTTATCCTATTGATTGCCTTTTTGGCCAGCCTGTTGCCGTTGATCGCCTGCTGGCTCATATATCCATTAAAGCCTAGTTGATCAGGCTCTTGACAGAGGTAGTTATTCAGTTTTCTCTTGAAAAAATTAGCATTTGTTCTATCAGTACCTCTTTTTATCTGCTGGTAGCAGGTTCAAGTGTCTTGGACCACTGATATTGGCAGTGTTCTTGAAGAACATGGTGACACAAATAAAACCAGGAAAATGATGGGGTGGAGAGTGAAAACTTTCAACACAAGGGAACTACCACTAATGGTGACACTTTTCAAATCACTTGTGCTCTTTCACTTACAGGGCAGGAAAGATCAGAGCAGGAACAAATACAGAGATCTTTAACAACCCACATAGAACCAATAAAGCATTTAAATTACTGGGAATACCTTAGAATCCTAAATATGTATTTGCTGGAATGGAGGAGAGAGATACAATAATACTGGAGTGAGAGAGATGGGAGAATGTGCAAATAAACCCAGTGAAAAACAGTTGTTGTGGGCACAATAATTGAACATTGTTTCATCATCCACAGGCCCAAACTATTAAGCACTGTATCAAAACATATCATGACTACCATAATTATCACTGTTGCTGTTAGATGGTTGTGAAGTGTGTGGTAACTGCATTCTGAGTATTGCTTATAGCACACTTCCTGACCTGCTACATCACCCTGCATATTTCAGTTTCACTGGCAAATATTGTGCCACTGTCAGTAGAATCATCACTTGCCTCACCAACACAGAAGTTCTCATCGCTGTACTCATTATCTGTGCTTAGATTTTAGGCAAAACAATGAGAAAACTTCAATTTCTTCTTGCATTGTTGTTGGTTGATTGCTGGTTAGGAGACCCCAGTGTTAGAAGGCAGATGATCGTCAGCATTTGGGCTGTTATTAGGTACATTCCTGGTGTTACTGTCATCCATATGAATACTAATCTCATAGAACTCCAAGTCCACTAGCATACACAATACCCCACACACCCCAGAGTTTTTTCTATACTACACACACCCACTGTGCAGACCTGTTTTCTCTAATGTAGGCCTATCCAGGATGAAGATGAATTTTGGATGTGCTAGAATTTAAGTGTAAATTTACATCAGAAGTTTAAACCTTTCAGTGGTTATGCTGTAGTAGCTTGGCTTTAAGCTCACTGTCCATCACTTAGTACTATGTGATGAACCCAGCTCACTCAAATCAAATCAAATCAAATCAAAGTTTATTCTCTATAAGGATTACAATGTGGGGTTTACAGATTTTGGTTATTATGTGGTTTACATGTAATAAAATACTAATTACAGAGGGGGCCACTAGAATACCTAGCATGGCTAGGCATTTCGGGCAAACTTAGATTAATTCTTAACCCTAAATTATTACAAATTGTGGAGTAAGTTGACTAAATACTAAGTGACTAAATACTAAATGACTAAATACTATTTTGTGAGTTTAGCAATGTGAATGCTTTTGTTTTGGCATAATACATAGTTTCTATATTGGATTATCACAAGTAAACTTGTGACTAGTTAGGAATCATTATTTTAAGATTAAGACATGTATTTTTGTGCTTATAGTCAAATGGGTGAGTGAGTGTAAGTGTGAACCACCAGGTGGTTTTTATGTAGTTAGTTGACGGGGTGTATCAGGGAGATAAGATGTTTTCTAACAGTAGTTTTGAAGGTGATGAATGTGTCTGCAGTTCTAGAGTTTTCAGGTAGGGTGTTCCAGATTTTAGGGCCTTTGACATACATTGAATTTTTGTAAAGGTTTAGTTGGACACGGGGAATGTAGTAGAGATGTTTGTGTCTGGTGTTATGCTTGTGGGTCCTGTCACAACTATCAAGAAAGCATTTTAGGTCAAGGTTAATATTGGATTTTAAGGTCCTGTATATGTAGATTGCACAGTAGTAAGTGTGGATGTTCTGAACAGAGAGTAAGTTTAGATCTATGAAGAGTGGGGGGTGTGTTGCCAGGGATGGGATTTAGTGATTATTCTTACTGTGGCTTTTTGTTGAGTTATTATTGGCTTTAGGTGTATTTTAGCAGTTGATCCCCAAGCACAAATAGCATAGGTGAGGTATGGATAAGTGAGTGAATGGTATAGTGCGAGAAAGGCATTTTTGAGAAGGGCATTTTACTATGAGCAGCAAATTTTAGCCTAGGTATGACAATTTTTTTTTTGGTGAGTGTGCACCATATAAAAATAAAAAAAATCCTGCCCCACACAGTGTATGATGGAAGAAACAAAACTGTGACTCTGTATGTGGTTTAACCCTTTCACTGTTGGTGACGTATAGGTATGGCTTACAAGCCAGTGTTGTTGACGTATTAATATGCCAAAATTCTAGCAGCTTCAAATCTAGTAGGAGAAAGCTGGTAGACCTACATGTGAGAGAATGGGTCTGCGTGGTCAGTGTGTACAGTATAAAAAAAATTCTGCAGCAAGCAGTGCATAATGAGAAAAAAAACTCGATCGTGTTTTGGTTTAAAACGCCGACTTTGAGGTGTGTTTTCATATGGTATTTATGGTTGTATTCTCATTTTCTTGGTCTCATTTGATAGAATGGAAGATATAAAAATAGAGATGATTTTGATTGGTTTTACGATGAAAAGTACCTTGAAATGTTCGATTTTTGCCAGTGTTCAGGAGTAAACAAATGACGTCACTGTCCAATACACGCCCAACTGACCAGTCTGATATGCAGTCATGAATGGGTTGACATTATTTATACAATTATTACAATAATGCAATAGTCTGCATAACAGTTTAACTTCTATTTTTTGTGTGAATAAAAATTCGAAAAGGAAAGCAAGAGTAATATATGAGGGGCCAGGGGACGTGACTAATGACCAGAGAAAATGTTATTTTAGTGCTAGAATGTCTGCATTGTTTATTCTGGACCCTATTTTGAAATTGATATCTTTTGAAATTTGTGTGAAATTGGTCAAATTGCCAATTTTTGACCACTTTATAGGGTAGTTGAAATCGGTAAATGGGTGGTTTCTTGTACTCAATCGATAAAACAAATGGAGTGGAGTTCTAGAGAAATAACTATGAGTTTGGTCGACGGGAACAATGGAATTGGCTGAAAATGGGGCTCAAAGTGGGCGAAAACACCTATGTGTATATATCGCCGAGACCACTAACTTCCTGAGAGCATAATTCTGTAAGTTTTCCCATCAAGTTTTGTACTTTTAGTGTCATTACCATTGGGAGAAGATTCTCTATCATTTCATAAGAAAAGAAATAATTTTTTTTTTTTTAATTTTAAGACACTGAGAGGAAATTTGTGAGCAGGGGGTCTCGACAGTGAAAGAGTTAAAATATGACTTTGCAGCATATTTTTGGATGGTTTTTATTGTTTTATTCTCAGTTACTTGGTATCATTTGATAGAATGGAAGACATATTACTGAAATAGAGATGGATTTTGATTGGATTCAGGACTGGAAGTAGCTTGAAATTGAGCTCAAAGTAGCGGAAATACATAAAGGGCCCCTGCCTACAAATCAATTTAAGGCCCTACTTAGAAATTGCCTCATCACTCAAAATTAACCAGACAAACATTATACTTAACACCTACCAGTTACTCAAAAAACTCCTAAATAATTTATGATTGCTCAACTATTTGATCAGTTACTTCAAACTTAAAATTGTTTCAATTTCATTATTGTAAATTGTACCAAGTCATTCCCAGGATTCAGCCAACATTCATCCTCACCCACTCCTCGCCTCCTAGTTGACAGCATCCCATCAACCATGGCAAACACACAAGACCTCTTCACCCCAACCGACAGCACTGACTACAGCTTATCAACATCCCCAGGTACGGCACCGGTGTACAGTCCTCTTCAACAACACACCATGCAGAAGATTTTACAAGAAAATTATATCCTCAAACTACAAAATGAAACCTATGAAAAAAGGATTACAGATTTAGAACGTTCTCCAGTAACAAACAAACAAGCAAACAAACAGACAAAATTTATTTCTTTGCAAGATTACATTGAGATTATGAAATTACAATGAGTTGCAGTGCAAAAAGAGCTACTACCATGCCTAGGCATTATGGGCAGACTTAATTTAATGGCTTAGAGATTACTTAATACTAAAGAAATTGATCATAGTTTGTTTAAGTTGCCTATCTTTTTTATGGTTATAGTTGACAGTAATTTTACTCTAATTACAATAGTTTCAAAAATAAATATTGAAATTATATTATGGGAATATAACATTGTGAGTTGTTGAAAGTAGTTTACAGTATGAGAATGCTACAAGGATCATTGAACTGGAGACAAAACTAACAAACTTGACAGCAAAGACCAAACAACGCACAGACATGCAAACAAATCTCATTAGCCACACTGAACAAGTAGCTTCCCTAACAACTAAGTTATCAGAGGCTGAATGAGACTGGTGGACAAACATGGACTCTTATCATGTGGGGTTCGAACACGTGGATAGGGTAAAGTAATACTCACGTAGGCTGGTAGTACGTATATTACGGATAATGTGGGTAGCGCCAAACAGCCGGCCTGCCTCCTTGCTCACTCTCGTATAACTGACTGCCCACAGTACCCATATGTGAGGGGGTCTTTGAATACTGCTGTGGTCAGCACAATATGAATACAGACAGTGACTCAGGCAGAGACGGTTGGTAGTGAGTCATCTACTGGTACACTGGTTACTGGTAACTGGTTACTACTACTGAGAGCTCGGCGACGCTAACGTATGTCGTCCCGACATACAACTAATACAAACTAGAGATGGCAGGTATACGGCTTGGGCTGATTCTATACAATGTCAAAGTACACAACAATTAAACATTATAACATACATAAGTAGAACATTGGAATGGAAGC